GCAAATCATGGTTACACTTTAGTAACACAAACTTCTTGAAAAATAGTGAAGAAAATAAGATTTTCACAACCACTAAATAATGTGGTTAACTAACAATATTTATAAAACTTCCATAACTTAACATATTCCCAGTTTAAAGTACTTATCATTAAACGTGTTCCCAGTTTAAAGTAGTACATTGAAGATTAACTTCTGTTCTTAAACCTTTATATTAAATATTAAACAAATGAAGTTAGCAAGCCTAAGTTTAATTATCATGTTCTTTTAAGGAAAATCTAAGATACCCCCCTCCTTGAATATGGTGCAATATATGGATATTAATAATGGCTGGAGACGGCTTGAATGGGTAATGAAGAAAAACTTTAATACAAGTTTAACATAACAGCAAATGTACAAGGTTTTGTCATCAGGTAATATGGATATTAACGGTAGCGGACAGTGTGAACAAGAAGCGTTGGTAATTTGAAAGTTAATTTCTTTAGAATATGCAAAGTTCAGTAAAAATACTTTAAATTGTTTTTGTTATGCTCTTGTTATTTAGGACTTCCATAACGTAACCAGTGCCCTTGGATACGAAAAAACTAATTTATATTTTAACTTTAATTTAATGTGAGAAATATTTACTTTAACTATTAAATTGCAATAAGTTATTCAATTTCCAAGCACGTGAAGTGTTTTTCTAGACGGCAAGCCATTTCTTAATAATACCGTTATTATTCAAGTGATGTTACACAAATATTACAAATAAATCAGTGATGAAGGATCATTCACAACGTGACCACAAAGTTAACAGTTGTCTTGACGGTAACGATACCATTCACTCGAGTCTCAAGAGAGCACAAGTAGTTTTCGTAAAGTTACCGCGAGTCACTATTACAGAGTTAAGATTTCAGTTTTATTGAAAGTTAATTAATAAAGTGGAGACTTTTACATGTTTAATTATTTCGTTTATTTAGTGTTCCTTTGTGGCGATAACTTATGCATGTAAAAACTTGCTGTTGATTTGTTTTTAATTAAAGCTGTGTGGTTTATTATTTTACTAATTGAGATAACCAACTAAACTGAAAAAGACCAGGTAAAGTTTTCCTTTACGAACATTTAGTAATGACGAAAAATAAAGTTAAAGCTATTAATTTGGAAAAGTTAACTTAATTTGAAGCGTATAATTCAGATTAACCGATTACGTTGTAGTGGATAATCTTAGGAATGATATAGTAGTCAAGTACTGTGAAGTTTAATATTAGGAATGATATAGTAGTCAAGTATTATGAAGTTCCTTAAATTTAAAGAGTTGTTCAGGTTTCTTGTTCCGAGAAGTTACTTTTTTTTACGTCATATGAAAGTATTCAAACACAAGTATAAAACTTACGTTTACTTCCATGCAAGGAGTCAGGTGAGTTTTAGTTATTACAAGGTATTTTCTTTCAGCTGCGTAAATAAATAGAAATTACTTTAAATGTCAATTAAAATTTAATAAATATTTAGAAATTAAACTATTAGAATAAATCCTAAGCATACTGAAATTAATGTTCTATCATACGTACTTTAAGTTGTTGGAGTGAGAATGTTATCCTTGTATAGTACTAAAACACCAATATGTAAAAACAATACAAATAAAAGACATGCGTGTATACATGTTAAATGTCTTTCTTTTTTGTAGCTTGTTAGATACATGCACATTATTTACTCAGTTTGTTTTAGAACTGAAGTACTTAATATAGTATTTATTTATAAGTACTATTGCTTTGATTTAATAAGAAAATGAAGCCGTTATGGTTGCGGATAACTTAAAATGTTAACAATTGCTTTAATTTTTAATGTTCTAAACTAACGCCACTAGAACCAGGTTTAAACGGAAAAAACAAGCTTATTAAGTTAACAAAACTTTCAATATATTTTAGCACTTACCAGAAACAGCAAATAAACGTGCCGGAGGAGAATTTAATACTAATGTTAATGAACAATAAAACTTAAATATCATTTCAAATAACTTAAACATAAAAAAAATTTAAATCATAGTTTCGTATTAATAACAATATCTAGTGATAACAACGCTACGCATATCATCCTCCACCGATTTCGAGACTCAAGTTACGAAGCTTATGTCAGAGTATTTATTCCCTTCTTAGGTCACAAGAGTACAGCTCATGTGATCATAAATTTACATAATCTATTGCTACATTAATAATAACTGTACGTCACCGCTAGGGAAGCTGGTGTCAGTTTTATGATACATACATACCTACTCTAAATAAACGTGATCAGTAGAAGGTGAGTTAACAATTTAATGTAACTAAAATTTTATAGGTAAAATAAAGGATAAAAGGAATAATAAATGACCAATAAACAAAACCATAAAAAAAAAGAGGTCGTTATCTCACAAACTTACTCACCCCCCTCCCCCCAATCAGAACCACAAATAAATAAAAAATTATTTTAAAAATTGATAAATAAACAATAAAAAAATTATAAATTGTACTTTAATTGTGTCGTTCTGGTTTTATAATATTTAAGTGATATTCAAGAATACCGGATTCTATTCACGATTTATTGTACTTTCTTCACTTGGATCAGGTGAAGATGTTACGACAATGACATCTTATTGTGTTTTCTTTAGGCCGGCTGGGATATGACAGACATAGTAATGGTTGAGAGGTTATTTACATGATCAAATGGCCCGGCATGACAAGGTGGTTAGGGTGCTCTGTTCGCACTCTGAGGGTCGCGGGTTCGGATCTCCGTTCCACCAAACATGCTCGCCGTGGGGGTGTTATAACATGACGGCCAATCCCACTATTCGTTGGTAAAAGAGTAGCCCAAGAGTTGGCGGTTGGTGATGATGACTGGCTGCCTTCCCTCTAGTCTTACACTGCTAAATTCGGGACGTCTAGCGCAGATAGCCTTCGTTTAGCTTTGCGCGAAATTCAAAAACAGACAGACACGGCGTGTTAGATATTTAATTAAACTAATATGTTATCAATGTAAAAGAGTAAAATTTCAATGCACGAGTAAATAAGCGATACAAGATTAGGAACCGAAACCTATACTTAGATAATTTCCTAATTATTTGGATCAACTTTAAAGTAAAGTATTACATCTACTATTGAAAGCTCTGACCATCCTAGAATAGATACACCTGAAGGTATTTTGGACGTTTTTGCTTTTAATGGAATGATACCTTTGTAAATGAATATAACTTATTTTAAATAGCATATACTTGATCATAAAATAATGGGCTACAACGTTTCCATAATTTTATTTAGGCTTAACAATCATTCGTTTGTTTATGAAGAATTTGTCTAGTGTCAAGTTTACAAAAGCACACATTGTTGTCAATTTAGAATAAATATTTAATGTTATTTAAAATAAGTATGAAAAACTTTTTTTTCAGACATATGATTTGCTATTCGGCTAAATTATACATTTGACAGAGTAGTTAATATATTTTAAAATAATAAAATAGGTAGGTGTTATTTTAATTTGGATTTATGATTGAAAACTTTGTATTGGATATAGAGTTTTCTAGATACAGCTAATGCAATTATAAACTAAATTAATTCACTATGATGTAAGTGTAATTATTTTATGTATTTTTTATGATCAATTGTTTAAAAACATATTTTTCAATTCCCATTTATTTATTTTGTAATTAATATAACTTTCTTACAGTACGTGATTAAACTTAAGTAAATATACAAAAATGTGACATATTTTTTAATATTTTTGAAAAATAAACATCGGTAAACGTGAAATGCAATGTTATGTTTTTCCGCTTTTACATCCTTAACATACCTTGCATTATTTTACTGTAAATCGATCAATACAGATTTTAGAAGACATATCTAAATCGGTTTTTCTAATAAAGCTTTGCATAATATCGTTTTTAACCATTGTCCTAAAGAAAGTCATCATTTAGAAATTATATTTTTTTTGAAACAAGAAAAAGGGACATGTGTGGATAATTAATTACTAACAATATTATTCATCTGATCGTTTATAATGTAAGTTCAATATAACAGTTCAAGTTATGATAATTGATAATTTCATTTGTTTAATGTACCTTTAATTATATTCACTAGATGGCAGCACATTCTAGTTGATAAAACAGAAGTCTTTTTTTTTCAGGTCATAAATAAAATATTTGCAATTAGACTTTAATGAACAAAATAACAAAAATTTTAAAATAAAATTATTTTTATCAAACAGTCTGATTGTTTAGACAATTGATAGCTTTGTGAACTAGAAATTTGTGTCTGAATTTTCTTAACGCCACTGTTCTTTTGTAGCAAATCTAATATTTGCTGCCTTCCCTCTAATCTATCTTCCCTGTAAAATTATGATCGTGGGTAATCAAGAGCAAAAAACATAAAAACCCGAATTTTGGGGCACAATGAAAGATAACATCTTTATTATTAGTTAGAGCCAACTAGTTTCGGAAACACAAATTACCATAATTAGGGCTAGTGTCTAATATTGTAGCACAGTGTGCCTGAAAAGAAATTATCATGAGTAACCCTCGAATACGTTTGCGCGAAATTCAACAAAAAAAATGTAAATGTTGCTTAAAGTTTTTCTATTGTCCTGTATCTATCATCATCTACGTAGAGGCTTAGTATTCTATGTAATTTCTGGAATGAAGAGAAATTCAAACTCTTATTGCTAAGAAAAAGAAGCGTAGCAACTGTAATTCATATTTTATATATACACATGCGTACATAAGTTTAGAGTAAACAGAAATCTTATTGATAATCATGTCCCTAAGTAAGTAAAGTACAACAATTAATTTAAAATAAACTATATATTTGTTTCACAACCACATTTCAGTAGTAGTTGTAGTATATATATATATAAAACGTTAAGGAGTGAAACATTATCACAGCATGTAGCAATAAATAACATGTTTATATTAGCTAAATTAAAACACGTAGGTGTCGCAAACTAGTTTTTAGTAATTGTGTTAACACAGCAAAAGATATATATATATATTTCAATACTTATTTTCTGTACTCTGTTATCATTATCTTCTTGATCATAAAATTACCATTATTTCTCACCTTTAAATGGATATATGATATTATACAATAATCATAATATGAACAACGTCTGTTGCATTATTGAACATAAAGATTACATTAGGCTAAAAATGTTCAGTTTTATCTATGAGTCATAAACATTTAATATGCTGAAATATTTGAAAACAGTGGAACTATCCACTTGCTTCTCGTTTCTAAAAAAATAATTAAATAAAAGGGGAACGATTGTCATCACGCTTTTTAACTACAGTCATTCTTGGCAGTTTGTTTGTTGGAAAAATATCTCAATCACTTTCTTTATTGCCTAAACAATAGTCGCATCGACAACATAAACAATGTTTCCTTCTTGCATATTTTTATTTCGTGAATAATATCGGATTATATACGTTCTCATTTGACCGGATCTAACCAATTACAAATCAAAGTGTTCCAATTCGTCATTGGAACTAGAATACTCTAGTATTGAATTTAGTTTACTATTTTTCTGTGTTAATAACATTCAGTGCTTTTTCAATATTCGCTGGTCAAAAGACGAAAATTACAACTTCTGAAGTGAATATCGATTTATGACATCTACTGGATAAATAGTATGAATACTTCAAATAGTCTGGTATTAGGTATATTAAACCTTAAATACGTTTAATAAGACAACAGGAGGGAAACGACCAGAAGAATGACAGCCAGTCAGCAGCACTAATACAGATGAACTGGCAGAACGATAATCACTGGGCCACACCCTACATCAACGTACGTGTAAAATATTTTTAGTTGATACAAGTTTACAAGGCTAGTACTAGCTTACTAAGTGTCCAGTTACTAAGTCTAGTAGTGTGTTGTTCTTCTATTTCACTAAATGTCCGATTGTAAACTCTGGCACTATTATGATTTACTGGTTTACAAGGTGTCTTTGATTATTGCACCACTAAATTTCCGGTTGTAATCTCTGGCACTGTTATGTTTTCCTGGTTTACAAGGTGTCTTTAATTATAGCACAATATAATAATTTTTAGTAACTGAGATGAAGAAGTATGAAAAATGGGTCTATTCTATAAGAACAGTTTAAACATTAAATGATAGAGATAACGTAAATTGTGGAGGTGGTCACTCTCGTTGTTTACAACACTGTTAATACATATATAAGTTCAATAGTTCTTACAAACATTAATTCTGTTCTAGTTTATTGTGTATGCATCTGTAAAATTTACCCCTTTGATGTTTGTGTAAATTGCGATCACGTTGTCAACGTAGAAACTGCTTGCGAATGTAAATATTCTGTTTATAAATGTTTGTTCACATATGTATTATTATGTTTCTTATTCAGTTGTTTTACAACTGTTTCTCTTACTGGAATCCTGAAATATAATGATCTTTCTGATGACAAATAGCGTTTGCACTGAATAGACAATTGTCAACAAAATCTGTATTGAGACTTTCTCCCCAGTAGAGATACTTGCGTGATTTTAACGTCCAGTTTTTATTCTTCAGGTTCATTTACAGTGTATTGAACGTTAATTTTTGTCTTTCAGAATATATAGTATATTTATAAAAAATGATAATTAAATTCAAGCAGAGAAAACTCTCTCTCCGACAGACTTATTATTATAATGCAATAAACTGATTAGGGAGTGAAAGTTAAATTTTATCAAGAGACTTTTGATGGAAAGTAATTGTAAGTATTTTTGTTTCTCAACTTCACATGTGTTTGAGGTATCAGAAAATAAAAGTCCATGGTCTTCGAATAATATCATTTCATTTCTTTACTGTAATTTTATAAATGTTTCAACTGTCCTTGGTAGTCCAGAATGATAATAACACTCATCACAAACATTTCTAGATTAATTAAGTGCATGAGAATAAAAACTGCCTTCATGGCCCAATTAAAATGTACTATTAGTAAATCATCACAGGGGCTAAAAACTTATGCTTTACTGAAAGTGCAATTGAACTGATCTAAATGTAAATAAATCGGTATGGATTTTATGATCAAACTGCTAAATATCGGGTAGGTTAGACAGTTTCAACAGGTAAGTTGAGAAATGAAAATACAGAGAAAATCTATCAAAGAATCTGTTATCGTTAACAAATCTATAGATATCTTAGACTAGATTACCATTTTTTTTCAGCAGTTAAATCTAATAAAAACAACAGTTAAATTTATTTGTTTGTTACAAGTGCTATGTTTACTAGCCTTCCTTAATTTTAAACTGATAGACTAGAGGGAATGCAGCTAATCAAGAAAATTGGCTGTCAATTTTTGGGATATTTTAATCGAATAGAATGACTTGACCTTCACTGTTATAAAGCACCCATAGCTCCCAAGTCCTGAGCACAATTTTAAGGTGAATAGAAAAATTTATAGAACGTATGCTAACACACCGTTAGATGGAGCTTTTTAACCACCACCCCCATAGATTTTCTGAGATTTGAGAGCGTATAGGTGATATGGATTTTTAGGCCTTACTGTTTTTGTTTTAGAAGGAAATTGAAAGGATAATATTTAATTTTAAGTGAAAATATTTAATGAAAATTATTAACATTTTGAAGTTTGAAACGTCTTTTTTTCCTAGATTAACAGCAGTTACTGATTAATTAAGGTATTTTTAAAGTTCAATAACATGACGATTACCGTATTTATAATTATAAATCATTAAATGGTACTAAACTAAGTTGTTACTTAGTTGTAACTTGTAATGTAAGAACTGTAACTGTAAGTTACAACTAGTGTTATAAAATACTTGACATTACGTAACACATCGTTCTTAAGTTAAAAATCAATTATAACAGTGGTTTTTGTAAATATGATTCTTGCCCGGATAAGTCAACTAATTATTAATACTTTTCAGGCAAATGATGGAATTTGGAAATAAGATAATTATTGTAAATTAAAAACATTACTTAATTTTTTATTTGAAATCAATGTAAAAATTAATCTGGGCCATAATAAAGATTAATAGCACTGCTTGTACAGAAATGATAATTCAAATTTAAAATTAAACAATTTTCATTTTTCTATTAGTAATAAGGCTTGTAGAAATTTAGCTAAGCCTAATTGTTATACTTGTAAAAAGCTGCAGGGGTAGTCTAGCAATGGTATTAACACCTTGATTTTGAGATGTGACTTAATCGTTAGATATGAATGCCTTAGTGGTTACTCAGAGACATGAGTAGGTTATTGTTATGCTATTAATCAAGTCAAGGTAATATGTTTAAGGCAAGGCTATGATGATCAGATATCAGTCATTGTCAGGGTTAATACCTTTTTTGTTAACTAATAGATAATAATTAATAAGTAATATGCTTCAGCTACTGCTAATCTTCATAGAACTACTGAGAAGGAGTATTTCTATAGTGGTGGAAGGCCGAGATTCTATCCCGAGCTATCTGGGTTCTCCTCCATTAGGACTTCTTGCCTGTAACAGATATCCTTTTTTTTAGTTATTGTATGGTCTTCTGCCTGTTACAGATATCCTGTTATTTTAGTATTATTTTAAGTTATTGTATGGCCTTCTGCCTGTTACAGATATCCAGTTATTATAGTCTTTCTGTTATTCTTCTGATTTCTAACTTATCTTGGTCTTTTGAAGGCATTCAAACAAGATGGCTCTTGTCCTAAGGGAAGACACTAGGTCAGTGAATAGCATTGAAGTGATTCTAACAAGAGGATCCAGGATTGAATCCCAGCCATTACAGTTAGAAGAAAGATTTCTCGTCAGGACTTAACTGAATACAACATAACATTAGAGGACAACAAAGGACATTTGGGTTCATATATCCACTAAATTAAACACTTAAACATTTATCAAGTTTTGTCTTCAACTTTATTAAATTAATTGTATCTACTATATCTGTACCAACTACTCTTTAAGAAACATATAGCCCAGGATGACTCCTACTTTACCAAAGTTTGTATTTGTGTCCATTAGTCATACTGTTTTCAATAGTTAAGTACAAATAAAGATGATACATCAACACTGTCAATTCCCTTAACTTTAAACACCTCAATCAGATCCCCTCTAACATTTTTGTTTCATGAGAGAACAATCTTAGAGATCTTAACCTTTCCTTATATGACAATGTTTACATCTCGGGCTATCCTAGTAGCCTTCTCTGAACCCTTTCCAATAATTCAATGTCCTTTCCAAGACTGAACACAATATTCCAATTGTGGCCTAACCAGTGATCTAAATAATGAAAGTATAATCTCTTTAGACTTCTATTCAATATTTCTGTAGATTTATTAATTAAAACAACTAGCATCACATCACTCATTAATTAGAACAACTAGCATCACATCATTCATTAATTAAAACAAGTAGCATCACATCACTCATTAATTAGAACAACTTGCATCACATCATTCATTAATTAAAACAAGTAGCATCACATCACTCATTAATTAAAACAAATAGCATAACATCATTCATTAATTAAAACAAGTAGCATCACATCACTCATTAATTAAAACAACTAGCATAACATCATTCATTAATTGTGATGCTAGTTGTTTTGAATGATTGTGATGCTAGTTGTTTTAATTAATTTCATTCATTAATT